CATCAGCAGGCTATAGCAGTCTTGTGACTTCAGCAGAGCACTGGTTAAGGCTTGTAGGAGGAGTTTTCTTTCTGCTCTTGGAGAATGCAAAACCCCTGACCTCTGTCTGGACAGTGCTAATTGGCCCTGTGCTGATCACATGCAATCTCCCAAGAAAAAAAAAACCTCTCTAGCAATACACACTAAACTGAGCATATGCATGTGGCTACGGGTTCAGTCTGTCTTATCTAGTGGACATTTGAACAAGAGGAGGATCAGAGAAGACAGGATCAAATGGCCTTTTTTCACAATGCAGAGGATTAACCCTTTAGGTTCCCCACGAATCATTATCACTCAATTCTGCAAGTGGTTCTAATTTACTATCGCTGTTCTCTAGCTGGTCTAAAACCGCTTTTGACCTAAAGGGACACTTTTTTGGACGCCATGGACATTTCTAAGTTTCCAGGCAGAAAGAATAGTCAAAATGCAGGCAGGGCACAGGACAAAGCACTAGGGACAAAATGTATGTGAAATACTTTGATACAGTAATTTTTTACTATGTGATTTTAGTGTATTTAGTGAATGTCTTTTTTTAAAATTTCCCGCCGGTTCCGTACCTGTACGTCCAGTACGTCCCAATGCTCGCAGGGACCGGAACCCGGAAGACGGATGCCAGCATCGGCCGAGATGGACGAGGACACTGCAGGGGGGACATCGCAGGAGCGCAGGACAAGGTAAGTGAAACAGGGAGTCCCAGAGTAACGCTGCAGGGTAATCCCGATTGTAGCTCAGGGTTACCGCTTTTGGTACTGAAAGTTAACCCCGAGCTACACTCAGGAATACCGCCAGGGAGGTTAAACAACAAAAGAGGAAAATTCCTAGCTCAACTTGCCAACCAGCCTGCAAACAAACCGAATTAACCTGTCTAACAACATGCATTCAAAACAGGGGTTAGTTAGCACACATTTGCAAATACATACATAAGCCACAGAGCCTCGTTACGGCACCCCAGTATTCTGTAGTTCCTAATTCTACATATTTTGAAAGCCCCCATAGTAGAGGCACATGTATTTAATGGATAGACTAAGGGCAGATGGACCTGAGAGAGCCCACCCCTCCTTAAAGGTACAGTAGCGCACTGGACACCCAACCAGTGGTGTATTTAGGTTTTGTGCTGCCCTAGGCAACACAAATATCGTCTGCCCCAGTGGCCACAAACCAACACCACCACCCCCTTTCCCCCTCCTGCGGAGAGAGCCTGACATTGAACAACAACACCCCTGCCCCCCACCTGGGAGAGCCTTCCACTAACCCCCCCATCGATAGAGAGAAAGATACTCATCTTCACAGCTCTGGACATCCCCTGGAACGAGAGTCAGACTCTACATAAACCATCAAGCAGCCCGCAGCCTCTCTCGGATCCCACCTGGTTTCCATGGCGCGCGTGTCCGTTCTTCCATCCCTTCTTCTGGGGGGAGGTGCTGCCCTAGGCAAGTGCCTTGTTTGCCTTGTGGTAAATACACCCCTGCACCCAACATGTAGCACAATTGCAGCTAAGGTGCCCAGCGACAATTCAACAGTACGAAAAATGGCCACTGCACCAGTCTATAACTGGCCTTCACAGCAAGGAGCGACGCATGTCAGACAAGAGAAATTCGTAGTTCAACTTGCCAACCAACCTGCGAAACAAACCGAATTAACCTGTATAACAGTATGCGTTAAAAACAGGGTTTAGTTAGCACACGTTTGCAAATATACAATGCAGAGGATTAACCACTTAGGTTCCACAGTGAGTATAACAAGCATGCTTTACTGCATATACAGACTGATATTACTGTTGTGGGTTTAGTAACATTTTAAAGTTGCTCAGAGTCCAACATTCCTATACTAATCACACACACATATAAAGGTCAAATTAGTTGAAACCCAATTACCCTGCTAGCATGTTATGCATTGTAGAAGGAAACCGTAGTACCTGAAAGAAGGGTTCAACTACACATAAGATCTGAGTTAAAATCTACAAGACATCATAACTACTTATGGCCAAATTGCAGCACAAGGGTTTTAACATGTTGGAAATTAGGTGATTATCAACAAAAGGCAAAACTACATGGCATGGAGAAAATTGAACCTTAAAAAAAATAAATAAGAAAAATCAAGCAAGAACTTACATGTGCCATCAGAAAGTGTGTTTGGTGGGAATCAGTGCTTCAAAGCAAGAGTGCCAACCAATTAGATAATCAATTGAATTCCAAATAAAATTTGGGCTTTTGGGACAACTAATGCAATTGAAAATGTTTTCTGCCCTTTATCAAAGAAATAAATAAACTCTTTGATTTGAGAATGTATGATTTATATCCATTCTTTATATTATTATTTTATTATTCTACAGGATTTATATAGCGCCAACAGTTTGCTCAGCACTAATTCACTTTTAAGTCTTTACAGTGAGTTACGGGTAATGCAGGTGCTGTCTCTCAATGGAGGCAAACGAGCCTACAATTTAATTACCTAACTACATGCCCACATTAGTGTAGGTGGATATTTGAAAACACAAAACCAGGGGAGACATAAACATTTGCAAAGTGCTGGTACCTATGTATGTCAGCAATGGAACCCAATCTGTTTTGCATGCAGATTAATTTGAGCCAAGTCATGTAGACACAATGTAATCATCATTCAGCATTAAAAATGCGTGGTGAGGGGTTGACCTCAATTTCTTCTATTTCAGCAAAATTCTCAAGGAGCAGCTCATTTCTGCATTTTTCGCTGATAACTTTAGCAATTATCTAATTATGGTGTATGGAGAATAAATAAATGCTGCTGTAATTATGCTATCATTCACTATATCAAGTATAGGGTTCTAATCCCTCAGCTGTGCTGATGAGAGTTATTCGTTTAGATATACTTAGAAGAACAAAATCTAGTGAATAACATAATATTAACATTAATGCTAAAGCAGTGTGAGTGTTTCTGCAGTGATAGTTAAGCAGTTTGTTTCCCAGTCATTTAGGAAGCTCATACACCCTTGCTGTTCTGGTGATTAGGCCATTAGCCTATGTAAGACTTGTAGACCTCACTGGCCTTTTAGGTCAGTGAACATGACTTTGAAATGGCCAAAATCCATGGTTACATCTTTAGTCCTCATGTACACGGGGTGTTTTGATAATGCTGGTAACGTTAGATGTGTAAAGTCATGTTAAAAACACTTTTTTTTAGCATTTTTGCATTAGCGTTTAGCAACGTTTTCCCACGTTTTTCCGCATTCACATTTTTTTAGCATTTTTTGGGTCAAACAAATGTCCAAAAATGCCGGTTTGTGGCACTTTACCTCGTTTTTCAGTGTTAGAGCATTTTTACAGCTAAAAAACTCCTCTAGAAACCCACTAGTCCTGGGGTTTTTTTTTCCAGCCAAAAAATGTCCCGGCAAAAAAAAAAGTTGACTACAGTCTGTGTGCATGGACACATAGGATAACATGCTTTGGGGTTTACTAGCTGTAGAAAAAAACGTCAAAAGCCAAAAACAGCAGCTGTAAAAACATCAAGTGTGCATGCGGACTTAACAAACTTCCTCTGCCATGTAAATGTCATAACTGCCAATTGTCCATCATTTTCTTGTTCAAACGTTTTATTGTTTTCAAAAACATAAAAGAAACAGAAGTAGGATGGTCCATGAACATATACAGGCTTGAGTGAATACAGAAAAACATGTTGCCCTACAGGGAAGAAGAATTATTGCATGAAAACTTGTTACGAGGAACCATATAAAAACATGAAGGGACATTGTGGTACATGGGAAGATAGAATTTACAACAGAGATGTAGCACTGTTCCTAATGACCATTTGGAGGTTCTGTATGATACATGAGGAGGGGGGCAAAGGCAGACTGGAAGAATAAAAAGGAGAAAGAAGGAAAGAAAAAAGAAAAAAAGAAAGAGGGAGGAGAATTAGAAGAGACTGAAAGTGAGAGTGGGGGAGAGCCCATCATTTTCAAGCACAATTGTCCATCATTTTCAAGCACAGGCTTACGTTTTGGAATGTTGTCCTTGGACATGTCCCTGTTTTTCAGCATTTAACCGACATTGCAATCAAGCTATTGTTTTTTGGAATACTGCATGTAATTGATTCTATATTTTCGAATGTATCATAGCCCCAAGGGCTATTCAAAAGCTATACAAGGCTTTAAATGTTTAGAGTAAACCAGTAACAGACCAGGGCATTTCAATCTGAGAATGTGATCAAGCAATGCACTATCTATGTAAATGTAGCACTTCCCCCAGAGGAGCCACTGCATTGTTTTGTGATTTCTGTGCACACCTGAAGATGACACACCTCACTTTATTTTTATTCATGGTACTTATATAGCACGGTCAATTTACACAGCACTTTACATATATATATTGTACATTCACATCAGTCCCTAACCCTAAGGGTTGTACACTCTAAGGTCCCAAACTCACATTCATACATACACATACTATGGACAATTTAGACAGGATCCAATTAACCTACCTGCATGTCTTTGGAGTATGGGAGGAAACCAGAGTACCCAGAGGAAACTCACGCAGGCTCAGGGAGAACATGCAAACTCCAGGCAGGTGGTGCCGTGGTTGGGATTCAAACCAACGACCCTAGTACTGCCAGGTGGAAGTGCTAACCACTAAGCCACTGTGCCATCCTCACTGACCCATCACTTAAGAAAACCAAAGATGATTCAATTTTCTTTCCTGCAACCTGTGGTCAAGAAAATCATGATTCCCCCATCAACACAGTCAGATGCCTCCCCTGCCCCTAAATCAGGGATGTCCAAACATTTTTTTTCAGACTAAGATTTTCTTAGATCGACTGAAGATTATCCTAAACCACGTCTCACGTAAATGAAAAAAAAAAAAAAACAGCAATAAGGTCCTTATAGCCATAAAGTGTGTTGCAGAGGTCACTTCGTGAGGAAGGTCCATGAGCCAGGAGTGAGTTGTATCAAGGATACATTAATGGGGAGAGATGTGTATCAATTAAGTATGGTGAGGCTGGTGCCGCTGCGGATCCGGACAAAAATCCGGCACCACCCCCACAGAGGACTGCGGAACCAAGGGCGGAGGCCATTAATTCTAATGGCACGCCGCCTGCACTGGAAATTGCAACTGTACTGGGAACCGAGGTTCCTGTGTGGGCTGCGTTTTCCGAAGAAGTGCAGGGACTTCTTCCCTGCGTGTCCCGGGGCACAGGAGTCCATTCAAATGAAGAAGGAGAAGAAAGTCCATTCAAAAACGAAGAAGGGGAGAAAAGAGGAAGAAGAAGGAAGACGGGGGCTCAGTTAGGAGAAGATGGTTTGAAATCAGGGAAACATTTCAAATATCCATATACACCAGGTGGCCATATAGGCCGAAAATCTATCATGATGTTGTGCCACCAGCACCTAAAGACGTTGTATGTGGTTAAGCTCAGAAATCCATTCCATAATCATGGGGGCTTCTGCTGATTTCCAGTGCCTAGCAGTCACATTTATGGCTGCCATGAGGATGAAGAGATAGAAGAGCAATCAAACGGGTCACCAAGATATAAGAATCAGTTACGGTATCATAAATATAAAACATACGGGACCAAAAGGCATGAATGATGGGACAGTCCCACCAAATGTGGATAATCAAACCCCCAGCAGTTCATGGAAGCCATGTAGGAATTTTATAGCCCTTCTCCTGTACCGCTGTAGAGATACAAGATTTCTGGGTAAGAGTGTAGAATTTATCTAGGTCAGGACATGCAAATTTAGTATCAAAATCTCTTTCCCACTCCTTTATGAAATAAGGGGTTCCTGTGTGGGAGTGATTCAGGAGAATAGCGTAGATTTGTGCGATGGTATGTGTAAGTGGGTCAGCCTGTGTACATAAATGTTCAAATGAATCAAATCCAACCTTTTGATTTTCTCGGCCACATTTAAAGTAGAGGAATTGTCTTGGGCCACACATAAAATACACTAGGAATTAACGATAGCTGATGAGCAGAAAAATTGGGCACATCACACACAAGTTAGCGATCACTGATATAGATAATGTACCTATCTGAGTAATACAACTTCATTTTTTTGTAATATGTTTAATGATAACTTTCATTTACACTTTTTATAGTATTTGATGCACAGTTTATGGTGTAGTAGTGTTGGTAGTGTTGCGCATCATCTCTCTTTGAGGGGGAGGTGTTTTATAGCACCACACACATTTATAATTTATCATTTCATATGTATTTATTTTTTACTTATTTCACAGTGTGCATGTATATATGGTACCCCCCATGGGGAGGGTGCAAATAATATTGTATCTGGGTGCGCCATCCTTAGGAGGACAAAATTGCTCTTCCACTTAGTTGGGGGATTTTGGTTTGGTTTGTTTTTTGTTGGTTTCCGCTCACACACCTGGTCCACTCACATCACTCTGTAGGACTCCCTAGGATTACCTTCTTTTCATTCCACTCACACCTCAATCTGACTATTTTAGGAAAAGGGGGAAGGTGTCCTGTAGAATGATAGGATTTTCACGATCTAGGGATCGGAATTCATTTCATAGTGCATTGTAGGTTTACACTACTTCGGAGAGGTGTCAGCACTACCTAAATTTGGGAACAGCGCCACACCCTTATATTCTATTCCATCACACATTCCAGTTGGAGAGTGATAGGTGTTGGCAGCAGTCCCCACCTTTGAGCAGTTCCATTTATATACAGATTTAACAAATATACAGTAGTTGCTGCCGAAAACTAGTGACATGAATAAGGTGTGGTTGTGAAGAGTGGGATATTTTTCTTTGGGAAGATAAAACTTCTAAACGTCCAGTAAAGAGACGGTTTCACATTTTTCTTCAGCCACATGTGTAAACACATCTTTACAAAAAATTCCCTCAAAAAACAAAATTTTTAAGTAAGTATACAATTTTGTCTTGGGTTCATAGCTGTCTTGGACCACCTGATCTAAAAACTGAACTTCTCCATCAACTCATTCCCTTACCTTTGGTCCACATATATGCAGCCATGAGGGCCGCGCATGCGTGGGCACGAGAGCCCATTCATTTGAATGGACTCCCGAGCCCCGTGACATGCAGGGAAGAAGTCCCTGCACTTCTTTGGAAAACACAGCCCGCACGGGAACCTCGGCTCCCAGTACAGTTGCTTTCCAGTGCGGGCGGCGTGCCAGTAGAACTAATGGCACACGCCCGGGGGTCCGCAGTCCTCTGTGCGGGTGGTGCGGCTGCACAGATTTTCATGCGGATCTGCAGCGGCACCACCCGCACAGATGTGAACCTAGCCTTACAGTTTACTATCTTGCATCACTTGCCCCTCTGTTTTAGATTGTAAGCTCCCAGAGAACAGAGCCCTCCTAACCTTCTTGTCTTACATTATGGTATAACTGTACTGTCTCCTTTTATATTAAAGTGCTGTGGAAACTGTCGGCGCTATATAAACCCTGTATAATAGTGATGTCTTAGTTACCTATATCTATGTTATCTACACATTGAGCTTTTTCCAGTCCAGTGATGTAGTACCATCTGTGCTGCATTTTCCCCTTCTGTTTGGCTGTCTACAATCTGCTCTGTCTACAATGGGATGGTATATTAGCTGACTCTGTAAGGTGCTGGCCTGATAAGGCTGAAAGAAGTATCAGCATGTCTGAGTTCCCACACCAGAGTTTGGTGAATGTAAAGTACAGTCAACGTTGTTACATATTTTAAAGCGGTATGGGAAGAAATAGAATGAGAACAATTCTCCCACGCACAGATTATGACCATTTCTGTGAGGGTTGGCTTCTTACTGTGTATAATCAGTGAGCAATCAGTGCTTACTTTTAAATGCTATGTTGCTTGCTCTGTTTCTATAGTATGTTTAAAAGGCCAGTAAACCTAAAGCAGCCCCTATATGTGTAATGGTAGCAATAACACAGATGTGTATGTAATAGATCCCACATGTGTATAGAAATGAGCTGCTTGATGCTCTCTGTAGGTGGAGACTCACTTGTTGCTACTTTAAGCTGCTGAAGGCTTACCACTCTACCTTTGTCAGTAGCAGTTTGGAAAAAGGAAGCCAACTCTCTGTTGGAGAGTATTTCAACTAATTAGACCACAGAATAGGGGAAAATTAGAACCTGTTCCCTCCCCCCCTTTTTTTTTTTTTTTGTTGCTGTGTTCCTGTTACAGATTTTCTCTCCTGGTGAAACAATTGTTGCTGTAACATTAGGTGAGGGAAAATCTATTAACCTCTTCGTCAAAAGATGGCTACAGCGCGGTTGTCTAGTTATGGGACGACGTCCATGGATGTCATTCCAGAACAAGCCCCCCGCACGCCCCCAGCGGCGCACACCCAGCGCCGACGGTGATTGCTGGTGTCCTATCACGTCATACAATAAATGGCCAATCACAATGGCCTTTTACCACATGATCAGCTGTGTCCAATGACACAGCAGATCACCGGGTAAATACAGTTGCCAGTTATCGGTTGCACTTTCCTCACGCTGTCACAGAGTCAGGAAAGTACTGCTGATAACCGGCATTTGTCAGAGAAGTGATTGGCACTGATCATCAGGGCACTGATGATCAGTGCCCAGCAGTGCCACCCACTAGTGCCGCCCACTTGTGCCCATCAGTGCCGCCCATCTCTGCCCTGCAGTGCCACCACCTGTGCCCAGCAGTGCCGCCCAGCAGTGCCGCATCATCAGTACCGCCTATCAGTGTATCCTATCAGTGCCCATCAGTGCTGCCTATCAGTGCAGCCTCATCAACGCACATCAGTGAAGGAGAAAAAATTACCTGTTTGCAAAATTTTATAATAGAAACAAAGAAAAACTTTAAATTTTTTTTGCATTTTTTTGTTTATAGCGCAAAAAATAAAACACCTAGTGATGATTAAATACCACCAAAAGAAATTTCTATTTGTGTGAAAAAAATTATAAAAATGTCATATGGGTACAGTGTTGCATGACTGCGCAATTGTCAATCAAAGTGTGACAGCGCTGAAAGCTGAAAATTGGCCTGGGCAGGAAGGGGGTATAAGTGCCTGGTAGGCAAGTGGTTAAACAAAGCTCACGATAGCAGTAAATCCACAATATCCAAAAGAGAAAAATTGGTTTTTGGTTGAAATTACATCAACCCTTTCGCTGCCACCAATGTATGTCATACTGTAGGTCAGCAGCAGGGGGGGGGAAGGTTACACACCCTTCTAGCTGTTACAGCAGAATGCCTGTATATTTCACAAGTTGACTCTAAGCATTTAGATACAAGTGATCTGGCAGCTGTAAGATGACAGGTTGCTTCCATAGACCCCCCGGAATGTGCGCCCACCGTCATGTTGGCCAATAATGTCAGTGGTCAACCTTAAACTTACAGAGTCACTAAGCCCCCGATCAAAAAAAAAGAAACTCTTCCTAATAATTATTATTTCTTTAGGTCTAAAACCTTTCCATATAAAAAAATGACTTGTTCAACCAGGCAGGAACTATAAGTGACTGCCTGGTTGAACAAGTCATTTTTTTATATGGAAAAGGTTTTAGACCTAAAGAAATAATAATTATTAGGGAGAGTTTCTTTTTTTTGATCGGGGGCTTAGTGACTCTGTAAGTTTAAGTACATGGGCATGGTGGGCCCGTAGATCATGCCCCCACTGACAAGGCCATTTTTTGCGATACGGCACTACGTTACTTTAACTGACAATTGCGCAGTCATGGAACCATGTACATTACCTTTATGTCATTTTCTTCCAACAAATAGAGCTTTCTTTTGGTGGTATTTAATCATCTCTGTGTTTTTTATTTTTTGCGGTATAAACAAAAACATTAAACATATCCAATAAAAAAATTTTTCAAATAATATTTCTTCATACGTTTAGGCCAAAATGTATTCTGCTACATTAGTAAAGAAATGGCAAACCCAAATACTTCTGCACTTAGGTATGGACTCCAAAAGGATGGGACCACATCGAGAATTTCTTGGAATATGCATGCATTGCTGCCCTCAAATGACCGGGGAAGTCCAAATATACTGAGTAGAGAAAAGCAAAAAGAGGGCGCACCGGCCTAGTGCATTACCTTAAAAAAAATTATTTATTAAATGATAAAAGTAGGTATTGTACTCACAAAATGACAAAACAGTCAAAAGTACATCGTATAGGAACAGCTCAGAGTTGGTTCTGAGGAAGAGGCAAGCCCTTGAAACGCGTCAGCCTGTTGGAAGTCCAGAGTTCCCATCACAGACGCACACTTAGTGCAGATCGGACTGAACTGTTTCTATATGATGTACCTTTGACTGTTCTGTAATTTTTTGAGTACAATACCTACTTTTATCATTTAATAAATAGATTTTTTAAGGTAATGCACTAGGCCGGTGCGCCTTTTTTTTGTTTTTCTCTACTCAGTATTCTGCTACATGACTTTGCTAAAAAAAATCCCAATACGTGTAAATGAATTGATTTACGTGAAAGTTATATCATCTACAAATGGCAGTCTATATACTGGAATTTTAATTATTTAAAAAATTTTTATACTAGTGATGGCGGCGATCAGCAACTTATAGCAGGACTGCGGGACTACAGCGGGCACTCTGACACTGGGTGGGAACTGACTAACAGTCACTGACATCTCCAGTGACACTAATATAGTGATCAATGCTAATAAAAAGCACTTACACTGTACTAATGACACTGGGCAGGAAGGGGTTAACATCTGGGTCAATCAAAGGGCTAACCGTGTGTTGTGCTTACACTGTGTGCTGTTTTACTAGGAAGGCATGCTGCTTTCTCTTTGTGTTTAGACATAGATCTCTCCCCTCTCAGCTTCATTGATGATCACCGAGTGCTGGCCGAGAATCATCGACCGGGTCCTGGTGATTGACATCTGCTGCAACCAATGGCAGCAGGGGTAGGGCGGCGCGCCCGTGCCCCCTACCTGAAACTGCAAATCTACATATATATATATATGTGATTTTGCGCATAGAGGCCACCCTGTAGCAGTATATCTGCTATAGAGTGGTAGACAAGTGGTTAAGGACTTCCGCCTAAAGCAAACATCTGAGTTTATTTAGATACACATGTTATAGAGATCAATGATAGTGCAAACAAGCCTGTCAATATGATCATCTATTAGATTCTTGTTTCTCAAACAAATTTGCACTTTAGGTATCTAAGTGCATGAAAGCAGATCATGGCTTATCCAATTTTGAAACAATGGATACTCTGCAGTAATGATTGGTGGTCAGAGACAGAGGGTGATCTACCAAATGAACGGAAAATGTTCACACGATATACCGTGTAAATATTCACTTCAATTATTCAATCGTGTGAATGAAATACATAAGCAGATATTAGATATGACTGGATAATTGAAGCAAATCAACGTTCTCAGCTCCTTTAGAAAATCAGTATTTATATGTTTGAGGTTACAAAAAAAATGGTAATACAGAGTCAGAGTAATTGCACTGAGCCACTGAGAGCTCTTGGTAGTGGTTAATCTATGACAAAATAACTAAAAAAATTATATCCCTGTTCCCTGATCTTTGGGCAACTAATGGATGCACTTACAATTTTGTATACTTTTGTTTGCATTGTCTTGGAAATGTTCCTACTTTGATGTTTTTTTATTGATTGATTTAAACTAATTTTATCTTCTCTATTTAGTGGAATTATTTTTAATTTAGTGGGAAGTTTGCAAATTATATATGTTTGTATTATTATTATTAATAATTAATAATATCTTTGTATTTTTAAACCACTTCCCATCCCTCCCATGTACATATAAATAGCCGTATGGGAGCAGTCCAGGAGAGGGTTGCCGTTCATAAACGGCGGCCACCATTTTAACCTGTGCACGCTCCCTGGGAGCACGCGGTTCACTGTACGGGACCTCTGTGTAAGGTCCCAATCATGTGATCACTGATTGGCCAATCAGTGATCACATGAATAGTAGTAAGCAAGATGTCACTTCTGACATCATTGCTTACTATGTGTGAAATCTGTGAATGATCACAGAGGTCACATGGTATAAGGCTATTCACAACAGCCTTGTACCATGTGACAAGCTGTGACCAGGGGCGGACTGACAACTCATGGGGCCCCTGGGCAATAGGGGATCATGGGGCCCCAAACTCAAAAAAGCCTATGAAAA